TTTCAGGAGAGGTAAGAAGAAAGTCACCACATGTCATGCCCTGGCAAGTACAGATACAGTAGTTGAAAATATTGAAAGTAAAACAAAAGTTCTTCATATTTTGAGCTGCAAGGTCCTAATTACCAGCCAATATGGAGGTGTCACAGAATTTGATCAAAGTACAGCTGTACACCTGGAAGGATGCTGGATGGAGGAGCTGTGCTTTCTTTCATTTCTGATACCACATTAAACTTACTGGGCACAACTGCATAAGGACCTTCATTTTAGTCCATTTTTGTTTAGATTACTCCAGAAGGAGAGCCACTGTTTATGTACAGAATTGTACAAATTTGACCTTGCCTCTGATGTATTTTGTGAGTTTTGTTTCTTTGCTTTCTTCATTCTTTTTTTTTCCTTGCATACAGGTGAGCATACTAAAACTGGCAACGAACTGCACATGATTTAACAAATATAAAAATGTCTTAAAAAGTATTGCCAAACATTAATGTTGATTTCTAGTTATTTATTTTGGGAATGTATAGTATTTGAAAACAGAAATTGGTACCTTGCACACATCATCTGTAAGCTGTTTGGTTTAAAATACTGTAGATAATTAACCAAGGTAGACTGACCTTGTAATGTAACTGCTCTTGGGCAATATTCTCTGTACATAATAGCTACAACAGATTGGATTTTATGTTGACATTTGTTTGGTTATAGTGCAATATATTTTGTATGCAAGCAGTTTCAATAAAGTTTGATCTTCCTCTGCTAACTGATGTTGATGCAATCCTTATGAATGATTGCTTTAAAAAATCTCAACTGATAGAAAGTATTTCTTTGTTTAGACTTTAACTGTAGCCATTGTTTATTTACACATTTTAGAAAAGTCTCAAATACTACCAGATTTCAAAAATGTGACACAAAATGCTCAAGAAGACAGTCTTCTCATGGAATGGTACAGTCTCCTCATGGAATGGTAGAGTACCTGTTGAGTGGTCACACTTCATGCACTCATTTCTCACAGTCAGTGGTTGAGTTCACAAAGGTGCTAACCCTGGTAATGTGAAATTACTAAACCACAGTCTGACTAATTGGCTGTATTTCATTTCCAAGTAGGTTTTGGGGTTATGGGCTTTTTCAGTATTTGTGTACTTAACATATATTCTTTTCAGTTCATATTTCAGTGATTTTAAATGTTTCTAAATTTCAACAAATTAACCTGTGAATCTAAATGTTTGAAAAGTCATGTTGTTACAAAACTTGAAAGTGCAACAAATGTTTGATGCTTGAGTTCAGGTCCGTCCTATTGGTAACTATTATAAAGTATGGTCTAATGAATTAAAACTATTTTTAAAATAAAGTTCTTTGAATGAGTGAGAGGTATTTGTGAATCATGCCAAAGTCCAAATTCAGTAAGGTTAAGCTCAAAGCCTATGAATTAACAAATGCTTAAAAAAATAGAAAGTTTGTGCTTCTGTTGTTTACTGAATGCATTTTTGTTAATGATGGTGGGGAGTTAAGATTTTCAGAGTTCTTATTAAAACTTTGTCAAGGAAAAAAAAATCTCTTCAGCTTTTTTTTAAGCAGATAAAAATCTCTTTATAACCACTTATGAGTTCAAGAAGATACTAGGTTTAGTTGCATAAATTCAGAAGTTATTTGAATCAGTTACTGATGACGTTTTTCAGCACTTCTTTGTCCCTAATACCAAATATTGTCTACCATGTCCAGGAAGGAAGGACCATGAGTATGGGACTGTGTAGATCCTGCTTCTTCCTACAAGCACTTGCTGTGAAGGGCAGCTTATTTTCCTGAACTGCAGTATGTTTCCCTGCAAAAACCTTCAATATTGAATCTTAAAGGGAAAACTTTAGCTTCCAGTGTGTATTCCTCTGTCATTTCAGGAGTCCTGCTGTACAGTTTGCTAAGTTCTCTGCTAATCTGCAAGAGAAGATGGGTGTCAAATATTTTTATCCTGTGTATTGTAGAAGGTCTTGTTTATTTCCAGAAGCAGCAAGACTTGCAGTGGAATACGCATGCTAAGGGACGGGGAAGATGCTGGCTCTGGTGGCTACTTAAAAGAATTTTTTAAATAGTGATAAGGCTGAGCTTATTTTCACAGTAGTGTGTACTAAGCTTGTTCATCATTCACTTGAATTTAGCAGATTTTTGTCCTAAAAGAAGTCAAAGTGTCTTTTCCAGACATTCACACCCATGAAAATTGGTGTGACTAGGATGTTTACACTGTTAAGGTATTAAGGCAGTTTAATATACGTTAGGAAAGGGGAGGTTAGACCTCCTGAGCTTGGTGTTCTGAATAGATTCCACTTTGATCACAAGGTTCTCCTTGCCAGATGTTCATTAGACTTAAGTGCAGTGTGGGTTTAACATCATATTTTTATACTGTGATTTACAGAAACAACTCTTTACTCTTTGGTAGTGTGCATCTTTGACAGGACTGTGAATCTTTTGCCTGCATCAGGGGATGAATCTGGTTTTCTACAAACAATTTTTTTAAAATGCATCACACGTCTGTCACTTGTGCTTTCACAGTTACAAAGGTCATTCATCTCAAACAGTTTGCTAGAAATGAGAGAAATAATTGCTGTTAAACCCAGATGAATCAGTTTGCCATAATTATTTTTTTTTTTACATTGTTTAAAAATTACTTTACTATAGACTTTAAAGCAGTAATTTTTGTGTGCTTTGAATACTGTATGGAATAAGATTCTAAGAAAGAGCAACAATCAGATAATTTTGTGTATCTACTGAAAATTCAGTAGGAGAATGTTTACTTACGGTTTTGCACTGAATTTAGGAAACTGGTTTCCAATAAAAGCAGTTAATTTAAAGCAAAAAATGATCACATGAATGTAGTCTATAAATGCTAAGAATCTGACTTGCAGAAATGGTATAGCAAACATTAGGTGTGGTTTGGGGTTTGGATGTGCTTTTTGCCTGGTGCACTCAGGCTGAGCCTCAGGTGTAGACTACAGCTACAGCAAGGGAAATCAACACTCCTAAATGCACTAAAAGTGTTCCATTTAAAATGGGGGGGGGGGGCAATTTTCTGTGATTCTTAGCAGTCTGAAAAGTCCCATGTCAGAAATGTCTGGAGTGTTCCATGAGATAAATCAGCATGGAAAAACCTCACTATTATGTAAATCATATTCTTCAGAAAAGGAAGGCTTGGGGATTAGACATTTCCAAGTATCTCCTTATTGGTACTGCTGAGAGTGGCTGAGTCTAGTCTGGTTATAGATTGAAACAGTGAAACTGAGGATACTGTGTATTGCTGCTTGTTTTAGCAAGCTAGTGCTACATACAAATGAGGTTAAAGAGACACACCCTTTAAACTCATTTTGCAATTAGCTGAAATGAGGGAGAAAAAACAACTTGAAACTTGAACAGATAAGCTTTTTCAGGCTCGGTTATCAGTTCAGATGGCTGTTGTAGCAAACTGCAGCTGCTTAGGCAGCTCATCTGTTAGGGGAACTGCTGATTTGACAGCATCTGCATTTACTTTAGGCTTCTGTGTATTTTAAAAACACTGCTCCCAGTCTATTCAGAGCCTTTCGTTAATTAAAGGAATGGAAGTGGTAGAATCCTAGAATGGTCTGGGTCAGAAGGGACCTTAAAGATAATCTAGTTCCAGCCTCTGCCTTGGGCAAGAACACCTTCCCATAGACTAAGTTGTCCAGAGCTCTGTCCAGCCTGGCCTAGAATCCTCCAGGCACAGAGCATCTACAGCTTCTCTGGGCAACCTATGCCAGTGCCTCAAAACCCTCAATGTAAAAAACTTCAACTTTATGTCTAGTCTAATTTGAACCTTTTCTTGTTTAAAACTGTTACTCTGCCCTATTGCACAGACACTGCTAAAAAGTCTTCCCTTCCCCATCTTTCTCATGTGGCCCCTTTAGTTACTGGGAGGGGCCCTAATGTGTCCCCAGAGCCATCTCCAGGCTGAACCACCCCAGGTCTCAGCTTGTCTTCAGAGCAGAGCTGTTCCAGGCCTCTGGTCACCTTCATGACCCTCTGGACAAGCTTGAAAAGGTTCCTATCCTTCATCTGGGGGGAGCTTGTGGTTTAACTCCAGCCAGCAACACCGGGTATCTGCCCACTGCCCTCTTCCCCCTCCACCCTCCCAGTGGGGATGGGAATCAGGAAACCTGAGCAAAAATCATGGGTTGATACAAGAATAGTTTAATAATTGAAAAATAATAGACTATAATAATAGTAATTGTAATGAAAAGCTGCACAATACAATTGCTCAGTAGACTGACCAATGCCCAGCCCATCCCTGGGGCTGTGTTTGACATCTCTGCCAGATCCTGCAGTTTGTATACTGGGTGTGATGTGCCATGGTGTGGAATGTCCTGGTTTCTGGTGCACCTGCTCCCTGCCAGAGCTTGGGAACTCAAAAGTCCTTGTCTGAGAGCAAGAACTGCTTAGCAACAATGAAACATCAGTGTGTTATCAGCATTATTCTCATCTTGAATCCAAGGCACACTACTGTGCCATCTACAAAGAAAAAAATTTAAATCTATCCCAGCTTAAATCAGGACAGATCTCCAGAGCTGGTTGCAGTACACCAGGTGGGGTCTCAAGAGAGTAGAGGGATAGAATCACCTCCCTTGACCTGCTGGGCTATGTTCCCTTTGATGAAACCCAGGTTTAAGAAAGATGCATGTCAGACTTGTGCTTTAAGTGTGCAAATATTTGGTGAAGCTGTACCTAATTAATGCATCTTTCATAGGTTAGTGAGAAGCTCTAATTTAAGCATTCAGTCTGAACTTTTTGATTTGAGAAGAGTGTATTTTGATCTCTTACCTATTATCTGGTCTGCACAATTAGGTGATGTTTCTGTATTGTACACTGGAGTATGACTGGTAAGAATATGAACTTATTTTTGACTTGGTGAATTAGAAGACTTGAGAGGCTTTCCAACAGTCTCAGCAGGGGACAGTTTCTCCCAAAACACACAGAGTTTTTTCTGGCCCCTCTGTTGCTCCATCTTGTTCCATGCACCTGAAATGGGGGTGGTGACTGTGACGTGCTTTGGTTCCACGGTTGTCGGGGCCAGTCTGCGGCTGCTGCACCTTGGGGAGCTGCACATGCGCTGCTCCAGCAGGGCTGAAGGAGACAGCAAAATAAGTAAGTAATGGGAAGAATAAGAGTTTTATCTTGTTTTCCTTCTCCCTTGTTTTCCCAATTTATCATGAATGGTATTAAATCTTAGTAAGTATTTTGGAAACATGGTTCCTGTCCTCTTAAGAAATAATTTCTCATTACCAAAGTAGTTTCCCCATGGGACAGAACATGTTAGTATGTTCCTCTATAGCACAGGCACTTCTAAGGGTGGGGAAGCTTTCCTCACTGAGCAGGAGTGCAGAAAGAGCTGACCCTTCAGAGGGCACTACCCATGTGAAATGCAGTCAGTCCTTTCCCTGTACAGCACTTCAGAAAATGGGTTTCTCCCCTCCTCAGTACTAACAAATTGTCTCTAGGTTTTAGCTGTCTTTACAACTAAGTGGTAATAATTGAAAAAAGACCTTTTTAAGGTAACACAAAGTGAAATACAGTATCTGGCAAAGCAGTCATCAAAGGCTGCTTGGGGTTACAAAACCCAGATTAAACCTGCCATTAAATTACTGTGAATCACATGGGGATTTCTAAAAGTATTTTTGTCCATAATACCATTTTGAATCACCTTTATAAAATGCTATCCAAAGCTCTTCATGTGCTCCAATTGTGAAAAGAGTGAAGAATTCAATGAGCTAAAATAGAATTCAGTTTTAAGCTTTCAAAAATTATTCATTCTTCATTCTTGGTTCTGTTCATTGAACTTGGATTAAAATTTTTAGCTAAAAAATATCTTTTTAAGTGACAGGAGTCCAGTTCTGGGACCCATCAGAGAGATAATTTTTTGGCTAGTCTCTATTATCAAGATGCTTTCCTTTAAACTCCCTTTTAATGAGTAATGTCTTCAAAATCATTATTGCCAATATATACACATATATTTTCAATGGGTTATGGCCTCTTTCTTGCAAAAAATGCAGTCCTGCTCTGTGCAGCAATCGTCAGGCTTGCTCTAATCCATAAATATGAAATTAAGTTCAATAATTTGTTTTATGCAGGACCTATACCTATTATTGCTCTTGGTTTTATTGCAGTAATGCTGCCTTTCAGCACTTATCGAGCATGGGTCTTCATGGTTCTGCTCCTGCTTTGTAGCGTCCATTCACGTGAGTATTGCAAGGTCAAAAACATTCTCAAAGAAGTGGCAAGTACTTTTACTAGCAAGCAGATTTTCTTGTCTTGGAAATGATTGGAAAATACTGAGACATATTACAAGCAATTACTTCACATTGGATTGATCCATTCTGAGACTTAAATAGAGCAATTTTTTTTTTTCCTGCAGCTATAGTTTCTATTTCCTTTTGTACATCTGTACAAGAAATACATGCTGCTTGTTTCATCCTTGTCAGTGCAACTTGCTCTTATTTCACAGCTGATCGTAGATTTTTCTTTTTTCTCCCCAATTATAGATTCTTCTAATTTTCCCCCACTTCAATATTTTTTTCATCATACTATTAAAGGTGTTCTTATAGTCTGTTTAGAATTGATGTATTTGCTTATTCCAGCGTATATTTCAAATTAACTAGAAAGGTTTTTGTCTGATTACTTGCAGTAATAGAACTTAAGTTTGGTCATCTGACATGTATAAAAGATCCATCCAAACATGTTTGCATTTGATCCTTAATGCACTGAGAAACCAGACCTTGGAGCCTTTTCAACTCTTGGTGAAAGGCCAGCAATTGCTGTGTCCTTGTAAAAGGCTTCCAGAGTGGGTGTGAGCTCTAACAGGAATATATAAGTACAGCAATGGCCATTAAACCTATGTAAATGGCTTGTGTCTCTTTAAACCCTCACATAAGAGAGTAATGTGTAGGGCAGCCATGGTTTTCAGATAATTCTTACCAAACTGAATGTTGGAAACCTCATCTGATGAACTTCCCATGAAACCATTACAAAGTCTTTAAAGCCTTCTGTTCTACCTTGTTTACCAGTGGGGAGGGGGACCCCATGACATAACTGTCAATGTGAGCTTTGGTGGGCACATTTCTGTTACACAATAGTTTCAGATTTTCTGTTTTGACAGTACCTTCAATTCTCTCTACTCAATTATTTTTTTTTCCCCAAGGGAGTTTTGTGTGGCACAGAAGAGTCAAGTTGTGCCCCAGGACAATTTCCTAATTCCTTAATTTATGCTCCCAATGCTGCTAGCTGAATTATCCAAACTGCTGAAGCTGTTCACTACCTTAGTTTCTGGTTAGGCTGTCATTGCACTTCTGTTCAGGGAAGTGGGACTCTGTGAACACTGTGAAAAGGCTTTCAGCAAACTCCATCACGGAAAGCTATTAAAATGGTGATGGTGCAAGTTTCTCTCGTGGAGAGAAAAAAGGCAAGCAGGTGGAGTACGGGGTCTCTTTTTTCCCCTCCTTGGGGAGTGGTTGATTGCCTGTGGAGTCCTACTGTGATTTGCACTTTTGTTGTAGTGAAAAAGAGATTTCTCAGGTTTACTGATTGTCACTGTTGGACACAAAATGATTCACACAGACGCAGCTCAAAGTGAGATGAAAGAAGAACAAGGTTTATTTGTTCTTTCAGTATGCATAGGTTTTTGACTATGACCAGGGATTGGATAGTTGGGTCACCACCTTCCCAACCACACTGGCCATGACAGACATCCATCAAAAGGCATGTCTTTAATGGAATGTGTAAACACCTATGTTTATAGTTACTTTCCTGGGAAAGTGGCTAGAAATTATGAAAACAATATCAAAAGGCCTGATTCTCAGGGTGACAACCGATCCCATATTTTTTTAGGATAAGGTAAATGAAAGGTGATTGGGCTGTCCCAAAGTAAGAAATCAGTAGTTTTTGTGTAAACACTGCAGTACCTCTATATTTAGGGATGTTCTGCTCTTTTCTATGCAACTGAAGAAGGTCAGTGTCTGAAATAAGAAGCTGAGATAGATGCATGTTTGGTTGTGCCTGATAAAGGTGTCTTTCACCACAAAAGCTGAAAGTTCTGTTTGTGTGCATAGGAGAAATACAACTATAGATGCAGAAAAGCGTTTTCATGTAACCTGTACTTCATAGGTGAGCAGCAGGGCTTTTTATCCTTGACAGTTTCCACCTGAATGGATTCTTTAATTTAAATTTTACAGCTTTGGTTCTTTACTCATTGTGGTTCATGAAGCAATTTAAAGCAATATAAGTGCATACAACAGAAAGACATCTGTGCTTAACCTTGCTAGCCATCAGTAGACACAGTTCCTGATGACTGTAAATGCCTTCCTAATGAATGATAATCAGTATGAAAATGTCATTGCTTTAATTAATTACAGATAGTTTTGATGGTAATGAGCTAATCATTATGAACTTTCAGTTCTTGCAGTACCAATTCAGCCTGGTTCAGAACAGAGTGCAGAGGCAAGCAGCAAACCTAACATGACAGTGAAGGGTGTATTTGAATCTTTCTTAAGCTTCTTCAGACCAATGAGTAAGTGTCACTTCACCACTGCACCATTGTTTCTCTCTTCCTTTCCCACTTCTGCCTCACTTCCAATCCACCCTCGCTCTCCTACCTGTCAGCATTTCATGTGTTTAAAACCCTCGGTCCAATACTGTAAAACTCCCTAGAGCTCTTGAAAATATGATTTGTGCCAAAGTGCCTCTTTGGGACAATCACAGATTTATTTGCATTGCTACCCTTCTGCAAAACCCTCTATTACCATTGATGTGACTATGCTAGAAATGCTGAAATTATGCTGAAAGTTTGACATAGGATCCACCATGCCTAGCTTTGTTGTATCTCTACTAGTTTTTCAGTCTCCCCACGTACACATAGAGAGAAAGAATTTGGTGCAGCCTAAATGAGAGAAGGATTTTGCACCACACTTCTACTGGCTAAGGCCTGTTAGATTAGACTGATCCACTCACCTTTGGACTGCTGAAGTTAAATTGCAAGAACTACATTATTTCATAAAATTATTGAGATGGAAATCACAGTGCTGACTTGCTAATATCAAAAAGCAAAACAATATGAGTACAGAAAAATCTTGTTCTATGCAAAAACTGCCAGCCTGGTTCCATAGCCAGACCATAGACCAATAGGAAGGAGAGGGAGAAATGCTGCTTTTCACTTGGTATATTTCTGCATTAATATCAGTGTGCCTCCACCACTGTTGTTCACATGTAGCCCTAAGTAGGATACTTAGGACTGATGAAGATCCTGATCCTGACTTTAGTGAACTGAATTTGGCTACCAGTAATGTCTCTGATAAATGTGAGACTGACAATACAGCCAGTCCTGGGGGAGTTGTTGGACCCAAATGATGTTTTGCAGCTGCTGTGTAACATAAGGGATGAGATATGATGTTTTATAGGAATTAAATATACAGAGACATCTACTGTTTATAACTATCTTACACATTTAAGGCATTTGCACAGAGTATCTCATGATTATCAATAAATCTGCTATAAAATAGGAAATCTCAAGAATTCCTTAGATGTGTTGTTCATCAACTGCCTTGGATATCATGTGGGGGTTTTCCTAGCAGCTGATTTCCAGCTGATAGTAGAAACAAATAATAAGTGCCAAACAGATGGTTAGCTGCAATATAATCATTCAGGAAAAAAAAGCCTTAAATTTCTGCTGGTTTTTACTTAGAAACAGAACAGTTAGAAAATTTAGTTTGTCTTTTCCACTTACTTGACAAACCTAAGTACAAGAAATTGTCACAACGGTGTTTAGATTCAGGCTTGTAATAGATCCTTACAGAAACAAAGCAGATTACAAAAGTTTTACTGTGATGTGATTTAGCTTTTTTTTGGTAATTTCAGTATAAAAATTGGTTAGGTTTTGGGAAAGAACTTACATGAACATCAATGCTATTGTTTTCTGGCAGATTTAATCAATCAAAATATGCTAGAGACACCAAATTGATGACTTCCTTCTGTTTCACATTGCTCCCAGGATAGACATCTAAATTTGTTTTGTTTTTTTTTTCCTTTTTTAAAGCTTGCCGCCTCAGCAATGAGCGACTTTTAACTCCTTGTCCTTTAGAAGGCCTGAACATGTCTGAATGCTCAAAAATTTACTGCTGTCCTTTCAAAATTGGCCAGGATGAGCAGTGCTACATGCCAGTGAGAGATGGTGAGTGTGCTGCTCTGGGCTACTGCCTCAGAACAAACCCTGTGCCTGACCACACAGTACAGTTCTCATTGATGTTTGTACCTTTAGCTTTCCAGGACACCCCTCTCTTCAGAGTGACTGTAAGCTTGCATGTATTTCTAGATCTATACTAATAGAGGAAACAATTAAGTGATAGAAAATTTTCTGGATATTATCAAGCCCAGCACAAGCAAAGAACAAGTGCCATACAAATAAATATTAGTCACATATGTCAGTACAAAGAAAGAAGTAAAGGTTTTGTTTGTTGAAAGTAGGGGTTAATCCAAAGTAGTGACTCCACAAAAGTGCAATGAAGAAAAAGTGAAGGAACTGGATGTATTTTAAATAGTGAAGAGGAGGCTATTTGGTTGTTTAATAGCTACTGAAGCCTGTTTAGGGAGGGTTACTAAGATGGGAGTTACAAATTCTTCCTGGAAGAATCACATGATTTAACAAGTGTGAATTGCCACTAACCCATGTTTAAGAAATTTTGCTCAGACATTAGCAGGAAAAAAGTTCATTAGAAAGGGGATGGAGTCCCCAACCTTGGAGGTTTTCAAGTCTTAGAGGTTTTCACAAGACACAACTCAATTTATCTCATATTGGTAGGAGCCTTGCTTCCAGAGGATGATTCATCTATGTGATCTGCAGAAGTCTCTTCCAGCCAAAATGTCAGTGGTTCTGTGTTATGAAATTTCAGCCTTAACATTGCATTTTACCTCCTTTTTATCCTTCGAGCATCAACTTAGTGGCATGATTTTTTTTTTTTCTCATATGAATGCATGGTTGTCTTTGCCCTACTGAAATGGTTGTATTGAATCCTAATTTTTATCATCAATTTTTCCTGTTTGTATAGCTTTCTAGAAACAGTTGTTGCTTTTCATGGTGAAGTTGCTTCAATAAACTGAAGAAAAGCAAATAATTTAGGGGTGTTTTATTAGAGACAGAATTACTGGGTGTGGAAGGGACCTCTCACAACCATATAGTTCATCCTCCCTTTTCTACGAGCATTAGCTACAATGGGCTTTTCAGGGGCTGTGTCCAGTCAAATTTTGAATTTGTCTAAGGACAAGCAACCAACAATGTAGGGAGAGTTTTCAGACACAAGCAATCTTGCCAAACACAGGTGTTAAGTTAGTAAAAAGAAACCATAATCTAGAACTTAATGATTTAGTTCTTCCTGGTGTAATTCAGTATACCCCCACTGACTTCAGAGGTGCTATCCCAACTTTTAGGATGAGCTGACTTAATAGAGATGTGAAACCCCAAGATTCCTTGTCAGCTAACATGAATTCACTTTCTCTTGTTTGTGCTTCTTCAGGAGCAAGCTGAGGTCAAAATAGGACTTGGAAATTTTTCTTGTGCTTGAACAGTTCCACATTCCAGTGCTGGGGCAGCTGTAGTGCCAGCTAAAAAATTTTTGACTGAAGAAAGTTTTATCCAGTGTGATGCCATCAGAATATGTTTGTTAGTTAGGAACATATGACAGAAATTAAAGATTTTAATAATATACAGTCCCAGCTTAGGCCTTTATATTTTGTATAAAAGACACTTCACTACAGCAAGAAGAAAAGCTGCAGAGCGAAAATGATAGTGAAGCAAGTATTAAAATTAAATATGCTTATTCAGCTGTGACTGCTTGATTCCTTACTCCAGTTAGGCTTTTATTGTTTATATCAAGGGCTGACTGTTTTACAGAATTATTTGTTCATAGATTAATGAGCTCCTTGAATGCTCCTGGATGTATAGCATATGTCCAAAGAAAATGCAAACACTTACTGTTTGCCTTGTAGCAATCTGTTGACAAAATAGAAGCACTTAGCAGATATTAGACTCTTAGCAGTTTGTCAGCTGGTCACAGGCTGCATACTGAATGGCTCTTGTTGGGAAATTTGTCTTGAATTTCACTGGGAATAAATGAGGCCTTAAGAAAATGCTACAAAAGTTATGAACTGAAGTATATGAATAGAATTAATTTGAAAGATTTTGTCTTCACTCTTAAAGCAGTTTCTAAGGGGCTTTGATGGTTTTTTTAAACTATTCTTTTTTAACCAAACTCAACTGTGCCCCATGCCCTGGGCTCACTTAAACCCTGGTTGCCTCTGAAACTAAATGAAACGGTTGTGCTTTTTGAACTCAAATGAAATTTGAGACTAGTTTTTCTCATCTGAACTAATTTCTAACACTTTTTTGCCATTGTGCTTCAGAATCATAGAATCCTTTAGGTTAGAAAAGACCCTCGTGATCAGTGTGAGTCCAACTTTAAATTCATGGCAGTTTTCCTTGGCATTTATTAAAGTCTTTAGGTGTGAGTGTGTCTTAAGTTGTGAGTACTGTCAGAGCTTTGCTGACAAAACATCTGCCTAAGCTAAGTGGCAACATGGCTGTTACTTCATGGCAGCAAAATATCTGTCTTAGGTGCTTATTCTGTCACCTGACCCTTAGTGTCTGGATCAGAATTATTCAGAACTAATGCAAACTTCTGCTGGCTCTACAGATGTGCAGCTGGCCATTCGAGTGATTTTGCTTACCGGAGGAGGATTTTTGATTTTGGGATTGCTACCAATCTGTTGCTGTGCCTTTTTACAGAGAAGGTAAGTGTTAGAACGAGACCAGACCAAATTCATGGAGTACTGTTTCTAAATGCTGAAAATGTGGAGAACTGACATCTTTTAACTAGGTGAGGGGAAACTGGGGGAAAAAAGGGCAAGAAACTAATGTTCAAACATAAAACATGAGTCTGTTTTGAAGTTACATAAAGCAAAGAGTTAATTTGGCTAAAAGAAAAAAGGTTATTTAATGCCCCAGTACTCTTTCTAAAGACCTGGGTATAAAAGACTTGGACTTAATCTTACTTCACTTGCTTGGGAAGTTGCACATAAAACTCAAAAGCAGATTCCATCCAGGACAGACCTAGAGTTATCCTTGTAAGACAAGGAAGGGAAGAACAAATTATGAGGCCTGAATAGAGTAAGAGAGATGGGCTATGAATTGGGAATTAATTATCCCTAATGTTTCTAACATGCTGTGTGGGGGTTTAATGTATAGGGCCCTTTACAGCCTGCAAGTTCTATGCAAGCAGTTTAGTGTCTGATAGTGTGAAGAGTTTCAGCATGTGTATGTGTTCTCAGAATCCAGGGAAAATGTAAACTCCACAACATCAAGGTCATCAAACTGATGGAATTAATTAACATAACTATGCTTTATTCTGCTTAGGTAGTAGTTCATATTGAATGGCTGGTGCTACAACCTGGTTAATATGAGAGAATTGTCTTTTTAGTGAAGATTTTTTCCTCTAAGTGTTAAGCTTTTGCTCTTCTAAGATATAGTAGTCTGTGTGGGATCATATATGTGCATGTATACACACACACATAGACTTTACTAATGAGGCTGCTTGGCAGATGGCTGTTTGCTGTGGAGTTCCACATTTTGACAAAACCTGCTGTGTAAATCTCCACATTGCATCTTACACTGTGATCAACAGCTGATGCTCAGCATACAGATAGCTGCACTGAGTCATCAGTGACTCTGAAAGCAGGAGGCAAAAAATCAACATGAAATTATCATAAATTTTCTGGAAAATGAATTAATATGTGTTCGTTTTGTGAGAATTCACATTAATGTTTAAATGATCATTTCTTTGTTTTTTCATAGCCAGTGAAACTAGAAATTTTGCTCTTCTGCTATGACTTGGTTTTTTGCTTTGTTTTGTAATGCAATAACTAACCAGATGCTAAATTATTTAAATTTCCAACATCACATATTTAAGCTCGAGGAAGGGTGCAATCCTATCACACTGTAACTTTGAGTTTTATCAGTTTGAGAAACATTCCTTTAATAAGCCAGAAACCTCTCTGGATAGAAATTCTTTTGTTTTCAACATTATACAGTCATTGTTGAGAGAGTCCTATGTACAATGCCAAATCTGTACTGCACCTGGTGCGCACAAAAGTAAAAATTGGTCTCTAGAGTTATCAAAAAAAAATAAGAGGATTTTTGCTGATGAAATTTTTGGGATAATTGTTTAACTCCACTGTGCCTCTTGTAGAGCAAATTGCAAAGTTTCTATACCATGGCCAGACAAAAAAAATGTAGGAACATGAAATTTATGTAAAGTTGATATAGGGAGCTGAGTAGTCCTCTCCTTGCCACATTTGATCAATTCTAGTTGATCTAATTTCCCAAGCCAGTGAGGCTTTGTTACTTTCCACATCCCCATGGACAAACTGTGTTTGCTTCCTTCCAATGGTGTTTTTCCTGCAGGAAGCAGAATCTACGCATCTGTTCCCTGCCAATTGGCAATTTCCTTTGTATCCTGGGGATCCTGGCAATTTCCACAGTATCTCCTGTCTGTCTAGAACTGTGCTGTGATGGTTTTGCTATGTCCATAACTGTGCCAATCTATCTTACTCCTCTCGGTTTTGTTAGTCTTCTTTAAGAACCACATGCAACAACAGGGAGGTTAAAACACTAAAGGTTAGAAAAATGCACTTAAATAGCACTTATTTTGAATAATATTGTGTAGATATTAAAAATAGAATAGAAAAGTCTTCATTCCTGCCCAATCCCTAGTACAGCTGTGGTAAAAAGCCCACAGAATTTTGTTGACTTGTTACTGGGGAAATTTCTGGTCATGGTTGCATTGTCTCCCCATCCTTGCCTGCTGGGATACAAGCAGCCCTGTGCAGGAGCTCCTCTCTCAAGAGCAGCTGGGCAGAGAGGGGTGTCCCAGGCCTGTGTGTGCCTTGTGTGGACTGGGCAGTGCTGGGTAAATGGTGCAGATTGATGATCTTAAAGGTGTTTTCTATCCAGAATGATTCTGTGATTCTGTACGGATCAAAAGGTGAAATTCATGAAGAAAATGTAAGAAATGGGAAAAGCATTGAAATGCTTCCTTAATCTTTCTTCTGGTGATGAATCTTATGATGGCCCCTGAAATCAGCTTTAGTTTTTTGAGTTTTTCACTGGAGCTAGGACTTAATGGCTGAAGTCTAGGTGACCTTCTCTAAATTCCTACTTTGGAAGTCAACCAATTGCAGCTGTTTTAATATGTTGCAGTCCATGTATCAATCCTTTACAAAAGATAAGCAAAAAAGTTCAGAAAATTGCACGGGAAAAAAGAGCATGTGATGAAAAGACTCATGATGAAGAGATTCATCGCCACTTACTGGACTGACGTAAGAAAGAACCAAAATAATGAAAAAAAGAAGGTAAAGTGTCTTTGGGGTATTCTTTTGTTCTAAATTTAAGGTTGTTCTGTTGAGTCTGTGTAGAATACTGAAGATATCCTCTGCCAAATACCTGCTGCCTGCCAGTGCAGTAGACATTGTCCAAAGGCACTGCTTATCTGGGATCACCTTCAGTTTCTGTTGTGAGAGAGGTAATGGGTTTGCAAGAATTTGATTGTTGTCCTGGACTGCCAGCTGACAGCAGAGCCATGGACAGTCTGAGGTTAAAGCCCTCTGCCATTTCAGTGTTCTTTATCTCATGTGCAAATTGTAGCATGAGAAAGTGGAAACGCAATGGGTTTGCTGCTTTCAGGAGAGACAGATCTATTTACAGGCACTGAAAAGACTGCCCTTCTCTATGGAGAGGGAAGGTTTGTAGCTGAGGCATTCCCATAGCTGCACACCTTGGCATTCTTGGCATTCTTCTCAATGCTGAAGAGCAATTGACTACTGAAATAAATGTAATTTGAGAGTGAAATGGTATGTATTTCATGTGACCATGTCAAACTATAGCCTACTAAAGGTCACAATGAAATAAAAATGTGTCAGGGAGGTCATTAGACAATAAATATTTCAGGGAAAGTATTGATTTGGCCGAAATGTAAAGATGTCCCTAAATCAAGTTATACTCATGTTTGGGATTTTTATTCTCCCTTAGGCATATAGGAACATCCACCTGATCCTGAAGATCAAGCAGAAGACACCAGGATTATTTGACTATCTCCTAGAAAATGACATGTTTTATTTTAACATTGAAGTAATACAAAGTTGTTAACCCTTGATAGTATTATTGATTTTGCAGTAAAAGTTTTTTTCATTCTAGTTTCTTGCACTCATTCCTGTATCCTGTACCAAAAAAACCTGGTAACACCAAAAGGCAAACTGCCTTCAGCAACCCCTGAATAGTAAAGCCAGTGTTCTTTTCATACAGTAGTATCCCTGTAGAGGGATATCAAGATAGCAGTTATGTGTCCATCTCAATTTAGGGGTCAGTCTTGGATTCAGGGAGTGTTGTGGAGCATTAAATTTGTATTGAGAAGAAGCTTGCTCTGATTCCATATTGGATGGCCCCACAGCACAGTAGTGCTACTCTTGCTGAGGAGAACAGATAATTTTTTATGAGACTATACAGGATTTGTGAAATCTGTTGTTGGGCAATTGCTTTAAAGATATGCTTGGCAAAAATACAAAGTACTTAAGGAAATTGCAAGTGTGCTATCTCTGGAGTTGTTCTCTCCACTGGGTATCACTGTATGACACAACTTCTTTTGATCTTAGGATGACTTATCTCCCAAAATTCCAAAATGCAATTTCTTTCCGTTTCTCTGTAGTGTAACAAAAATAAAAGAAACAAATGTGTAACACTTTGCAACAGCTGAGTGCAGAGTGAGGACCTAAAAGAATGTCAGTAGAAGTTAGTATCACCCATAATAATGCAATCAATTGTCATATTTCTTCGGAGCTGTGAAGTTTATGTAGCAGAATTTCCAAGAGCTACAGCTGGCAAGAATGGAGCTTTGGTCCTAAGTTGGAGTGATATTATGAGTGATTCTTAGAAACTGTGTACTTTCAGAATTCCCTGTTTAAAACATTTTTCTTAGTTTCCTAAGTCCTAAAAAGAGGATCACTTAAAATGCAAGTGTAATGTGGGTGGAATATGCATATGGACAATCTCATGAAGTTGCTTGCTGATGATCAGGTGCAGGAGTTTAAAGCCTGACACTGCAACCATTGCCAGAAGCATTGTCTTACAGATGATTTTGTTAGAATTTTGCAAATAAAAGTATTACATTATTTTCGATGTGGAGCAACAGAACAATGGAAACTGAATAGGGCACTGGTTTCTAAACCTGATGTGTATTTGCTCTTTTCTGATACTATTTTTATGGAAGGTGAGGTATATATGTAGACATTTTGACAAAGAAAAAAAGTTTCCTGCATCAATTTTGAGGCACTGTCACAGCTGAACTGTGCATGTGACAAATCGGAGAAATCCACATGGCTGGTGATTATGGACAGCAAGTTGTGCTCCAGAGAAAGTTAGGCTTTCATGTGGTGCTTCATGATTTTGATTTGATGGGCAATAAATTCCTCCAGTTTCCATTCATTGGCGGCACAACTGGTTTCAGTGTCACATAAATCCTGACAAAGGGACACACTCTGATAAAACAGCTGTATTTAAGGGTGAGCAATCAGTGCCTCTGCAGTAACTGTATCTGGCAGCACCAGAACAAGAGGAGCGTAAGCAAAATGTTCTATTATAGGAGGAGGTGAGATGTAAAAGTCACAGCCAGGGTTGTGTCCCACTTTGTCCAGAGCACAGTGCACAGGCATGGGGTCTGGCCTTTTCCATGCAGCAGCTTTGTTGAAAAGCTGGAAGTTCTGCTTTTCAGTTGGAGAAGACAGAAGTTCTGATTTTACATTTTAATTTCTCTATTAGCTTGACGATGCATTGAATTAATAGCTTTCAAGCCATGGCTATTACTTAAATAACTGTTCTCTGTGCCTAAGATGTCATAATAGCTATTTCATTACTATTGAAGGTCAAGATTGCCACCTTAGGGTCAAAGCACAGATATTTTATTCACAGGCCTGTGTGTGATGCCAGCTGTACTGACAATGTCACCAAAAGGTGGATGCTTTAATCAGCTGATTGGCTGCCTGCTTACACTGAATATTCAGATCCCTTGCATAAAATTTTTTTGTTTGCTTGTTTTTGTGCTCTTGGACATAATCATATCACAGAACAATTTCAACACTGAGGTTACCTCACATCTAACTGAAACATGACTTTTTCCCAGTGCCTAGGCTGCTGATTGTATCATGTCTATCAAGCTGCGTTTTACTGAGCCAAACTCAATTTTCCTTTGTCTCTTCTATCCCTTCTAAGAACTCGATGAGGGTTCAGGTCAGCTACAAGAGGTCACATTCATTTTTGCCAGGCTCCTCACAGTACCTCTCTGGCTAGAAAAGAAGCTGCTGAAAGCTGGGTGTGGTTCCTAAGTCTGCAGAAAAACCTTCCCGGCCCAGGGAGAGGGAGGGACATCTTCAGTATTAAATAAAATCAAGGACCACAAGATGGTGCTGCAGGAAAACATTTTTCCCACCAAGGTTTTGGTTTCTGGAGAACTTTATTGATTTCTGTCTTTTACAGGGTGGTTCATCAAGTCACAAAAAAGCAGACGGTGTACAATAGAGAAATGGTCACTCAGTAAAAAAGACAACATAATACAGCATATGATGACAAGGCTTTAGAAGACTTACAAGATATACAAACCATTGCTTATGGCTTTAGCTCTGCTCTCTCTCCTATTGAGCTGATAGAGAGTGAAACAAAAAATCTCTCAGTGGAACATCCTTCTTTATCTTCACAAAGATTAAATAAATACAAGGCTAAACAACTTGGCCCAATGCTTGATAGATGTGTCCAGGAGTGGATCCCACCCAGAAGTGGGAGCAGTGATAGGGCTTCAACAGCAGGACAGCTCTTTCATCACATCACCCAGAGCCTGCACCACGTCTAATGGCAAAGGATTTGGCTTACTTTCTGTTCCCTCTGAAACCTGACCCACACCTTTAGCCACACTCCCTGAGATGAAAAGTTACCATGTTTTTTTGAAAGCTTTAAGCGATATGAAATGACTGCATTACATTGTGGGTGATTGTGGCAATACCTACCTCTGACCTTTGGAAAGCTTTCAAAGTCATGAGAATTGAACTTAAAAAATAAATACAAAGGAATGAGAGAATAGGTTTGAACTCTAAAGCTCAAAAATCCAAGGCCAAATACAGAATTGTATTTAAGCAAAATCTCTTTGACTGGGGAACTTGTATTTTTGAAGCCTTGAACTTCAGTTCTGAGGCCTATTTTACCCAGATGAGATCCATGCAATGCCAGATGGTGCAGGTATAGGACAAGAATGTACTTCATTACTCAACAAATATTTTCCCAGCTCATTTCCATGTAAGGGATGTAATTTTTAAATATTATGTTTGCTATGATCTTGCTGACCCAAGCTTGGATGCACAGCTAAGATGAAGTGTAAAGGTCTCCCTGGAAAAGGTATTTTATGTTCTCCTGTAAGGTCCCAGTGGAGCAACTGATTCTGTGTAACTCAATTTTGCTTCTGGTGTTTGTGCTCCGAAACTTTTTTTGTCCTAACAAAACACTGGGAAAAAATGGTTTCTGCCAGATGTAGGAGGAAAACTGTCCACAGCTGTGCTGCTTTAACCCTCTATGTTTCACTGTACAGCTTTCAAGGCCCTTGACAAAAGCCATGCTTCTTACCAGACTGCTTCCTCACAGAATTCAGTATCCTGCACGTATCTCCCATCCCAGCGGATAAATTTCTGAGCACACGTGTGTGTTTTGTTCTGTGTCCAGGTAAGTGCAATAGAGCTTCACTCTGCAGCATCTGTTTCTCTGTAGCATCAACCACCTCTGTCCTGGTGGCACTGAAGGTTTGGCTGTGCCAGCTGACTTCAGGCAATGTGGGAGGGAGCATGGCAATTCTACAGGGAGCTCTCTCTACAAGGGAGTGTGGCTACAGATGCTCTGGCCTATTGTAACCATCTCCCTGCTTTTCAAGGGGGTGATTTTTCAGTCTGTTAGGCTACAGCTGTTCAATATTCCACCTAATGTGGATCATCAACTGAATCAAAATGAAAAAATTAAAACAACTTTTCTTTAGGAAAGTAATCTTCTGATGCAGGTGCTGGGCCTGCCATTAGCAGTGCACTCTTGCCCAGGCTCTTCTTAAGGGTTTTACTGACTCCAAGCTTTAAACATTTTTATATTCAAGGTAATTGATCCAACACTAACACACAAGATGTGAGTGGCAAATGTGGGATGGAAAAGCTAAGCAAACAAAGGACAGAACCTGTGCTTAGGACTTAGGGCACAGCTGGGAGATTCAGGGAGATAATGCACAGGTACAAAATGCTCTTGTATATGTTTCCTAATGGGAAAGCCCTGCTTCAATTATATGCCCCAGGTAGGCAGCAGCATTGCCATAAAATAATTTCTTCAATTAAACATGGCCTTATGAACTGCAGTAGGTCATTGTGGTTGGCTGTGTGATGTGTCTTTTCCCATCATCTTCAAGGAAGAACAGGGAAAAGTTCATTCCCTTTCCTAACACTGGGTATATTGACAGCTGATATTTCTATTTAAAATTCCCAGATACCAAACTCATAGCTTTAAATAATAACAGAGCTCAGTTTGAAGGAAGGAACTTTTATGGTCTCTATGGAAAACTATCAGAAGCAAGGAAACTTGAGAGCCTGGGGAAAAGCATTCATTGGAGTGTTCTTCACCCATTGTTTTGACATCACAGTAGGTAGCCCAGCTCAAGCTTTTTGATTGTGGATAGGCATGGCATATTATTGTTATGATGATCCTCATCCAGGATAGTTCTAGAATGCTATAATAGGAGTATGTTTAAACCATAAAAAATCTGGGACTGGGGGGCATCAGCTAAAGACCAGGCTGTTCAAATTGGAAAGGAAGAGAAGGAAGTTCATGGGAAAAATGACCTTGTGAAAAATAACATGGAGCCCTTCACCAGAATGCAACAGAATGTTATTCACATTGTCCTTTTGCAATTTTAGTTATATATGAGAACACTAAAAGTCTGTCACAGCAACTGCTACAAGCATTTATCTTATTTATTTTTTTTTGATATATAAGCTTAATTGGTTATTCATTTTCGTTTGGAGTTTTTTGTAAACTAACTACAATTAATCATTACTCATCAGCACAGATAGCTAGAAAACAAAAGGTTAACAGCAAAATCTGTTTTACTGGTTAAAGATGCTGCTAT